CCTTCTTCCCGCCCCCATCCACTCCTCCTCCGGCCACAGTTTCCCCTTCCTCCTCTCCTCCCGTTCCCTCCCCCCACCTCCCTTCTTCCCGCCCCCATCCACTCCTCCTCTGCCAAGATGGTTTTTTTGTTTATCAGTGGGGCTCTGGCCTGTTTTCTGTCGATCCAAGACCAGAACCACACAGAACAATGGCCCATCTTCTACCCCAGGAAGACCTGGGAGGGAGCAGAGAGAGGAAAAGCCAGCAGGCAGGCACGGTGACACACACTACAATCCCAGCACTCAGAAGGTGGGAGGGTCAGAAGTCTAAGACTAGCCTTACCTACATAATGAGTTCGAGTCCAGCCTGGTCTATATAAGGCCATGTTGAGAGGGAAAAAATTGCCAGGCATGATGGCACAGTTATTTAATCCCAGCACTCGAGAGGTGGAAGCAGCAGATCTCTGTGAGTTCAAGGCCAGCCTGGTCTACATACCAAGTTCCAAGCCAGTCAGAAATATACAGTGAGACCCAGTCAGAGAGAGACAGAATCAACAAAAAGTGAGTCTCTGAGGGACAGTCCTGGATCCCCAGCTGAGAGGGCACAGGGACAGGGCTCTGTGAGGGGGCACCACGCTGGAAGGGGACTCACCAAGTGTGAAGCTGGAGAAGGCAGAGTTGTGTATGTTTGTATGCCTTCCCAGCTCTGTCCTGGCCACACCGGGGTGCAGAGCATTGGCAGTCACACCTGTGCCTGGGAAAAGTAGAGATTGGTGAGTGGCAGGAGGATGGCTCAGGTGTTAAAAAGCTTGCCACGCGAGCAGGAGGTCCTGAGTGTGACGCCCAGGACACAGGTCAAAGCGCATGTCTGTGGTGGTGCAGGCTTGTGGTCCCTAGTGAGTGCTGAGGACAGGGACAGGTAGATCCTGGGGACTCACTGAAGTGAGCTCCAGGCCTAGCAGAGATGCTGTCTCAAATGAAAAACAAAGTGGATGGCACCCAACATTGTCCACTGACTTACACACACACACCACGTGCATGTATGTGCACACAGACAAACAGGCACACACAAGACTAGTGAAAAAAAGACCAGGTTGGCCCCTTGCCCGGAAGGCTGCTGTAGCCACCACTACACTCCAAGTCTTCCCTATCCTAGGCTGTTTCCCACGCTTGAACCCACATTACCCTCCGTGTTCTGAAAACTCACGTTTTCAGAACAAAAGTCTCAAGTGGCTTCCTCTTACAACGTGGCTCTGTCATGTGGCTTGAGGACATGACAGATCCACATTTCTGAGCTCCACCACCCCCACCGGAGTCTGAAGCAGGGGACTGGAGTAGGATATAAGATGTTACAATCATGACTGTCTCCCAAGGGTGGCTGGAACTGTTGGCCACAGACAACTTTTGAGAAGCAAGGAACAACCTCTCAATAACCCAGTTGTGACAGGCATGTCTGCAAACATTGACACATGTCCCCTGGGAACCAAAAACACTCCAAGTTCACAACAACTGGCTTAGAACACCAGAGGCTCAGAAAGCTATCCAAGATAAATATGTCTGCTCAAGGCAGGCTGATTGAGACTAAAGAGCAATCAGTAGAACTATGATTGATTAGTGATGTCTGCCTCCGGCACTGGAAAGGGGCATGGTGGTACAGGTGCCATCCTTTTGACCACAGTGTCCAAAGCTACTTCTTGCCCACCAGCTCGGGGCTATAGAACTATTCCAGACACCGAGAGGAAGGAAGGAAAACAGAAAAGATCACAGCATGCACACCTTGTAGCCGGCGACTCAGCTCCTTGGTGAAGAGGACAACAGCCAACTTGCTCTGGCAGTAGGCTGCCTTGGTGTCATACTTTTTCGTCTTCCAGTTCAAGTCATCAAAGTCTATGTGCCCAGCAACATGAGCCAGGGATGAGAGGTTGATGATACGTGAAGGGGCTGAGGCCTTCAGCTTCTCCAACAGCAAGTTTGTCAACAGAAAGTGACCTGGATAAAGTATGACAAGAAAACACTTTTCTCCAACGGCTATTCTATATTACTTTTTTTTTTTTTTTTTTTTTTTGGTTTTTCAAGACAGGGTTTTCTCTGTGTAGCTTTGTGCCTTTCCTGGGACTCACTTGGTAGCCCAGGTTGGCCTCGAACTCACAGAGATCCGCCTGCCTCTGCCTCCCAAGTGCTGGGATTAAAGGCGTGCGCCACCACCGCCCGGCTATATTACTTTTTTAAAAAATATTTTTATGTGGGCTGGGTGGTGGCGGCGGTGCATGCCTTTAATCCCAGCACTCAGGAGGCTGAGTCAGGTAGATCTCTGTGAGTTTGAGGCCAGCCTGGGCTACCAAGTGAGTTCCAGGAAAGGTGCAAAGCTACACAGAGAAATCCTGTCTCAAAAAACCAAAAAAAAAAAAATTTATGTGTATGAGTATTTTGTCTGCATGTGTATCTGTACAAAACATGCATGCAGTGCCCACAGAGGCCACAAGAGGGCAGTGGATCCCCTGGAACTGGAGTTACAGATGTTGGTGAGAGGCCATAGTCAGAATTAAACCCAGGCCCTACACCAGAGCAGCCAGTGCTCTTAACCACTGAGCCATCTCTCCAGCCCCACAATTTTATTTTCCATGCCCAGCAGTAGTATAATCCTCCTCTTGCTCTATATCCTCACCCACTTCTGTTATTTTGTTTGGAGTTGTTTTGTTTCTCTGAAGAGAAGGGAAAAAAAAAACTTAAGATTCAGATTCAGTTGATATTTCTTTTTCTTTTTTCTTTTTTGTGTTTGTTTGTTTGTTTGTTTGTTTGTTTGTTTGTTTGTTTTCCAAGACAGGGTTTCTCTGTGTGTAGCCCTGGCTGTTCTGGAACTCACTCTGTAGATCAGGCTGGCCTTGAACTCATATGTTTTTTTCCAATTACATTTATTTGGGAAGGGGTGGGCACATGTACCACTGCATGCATGTGGAGGTAAGAACATCCTTCGGGAGATGGTTTTCTCCTTCCACCACACAAGCCCTGGGATCGAACTCAAGTCATCAGGCTTAGCAGCAAGTGTTCTGTTCTGGAGACAAGGTCTCACTCTGTAGTTCTGCCTGATGGGTATGGAACTCACTCAGTTGATTAGCCTTGAACTTCAGGCAATCCCCCTGCCTCTGCAGGGATTAAAGGTATACACCTCTTGGATGTGAGGGCAAGCTGGCTGTGACCCTTGTCATCCCATTAATCACCAGGGTTGACCTCCGCTGACCCATCAGGCTAGGCAGATGTCCCCACCCTCCCTCACTGCTCCATGTACATGCAGAAGCGGGGCGCTTGGTTGAAGGTGACCTTCTCCCTTCCATCAGGGGTGTGTGAGTGGCTGTCCCCCCACTGGCGCTGCCAAGCAAGCTGTCAAAGGTGCCCGACACCAAGCCGGGTCTTAGTTACTGTTCTATGAAGAGACACCATGGCCGAGTCAATCCTCACAGAAGAAAGCATTTAATTGGGGGCTTGCCTAGTTTTAGAGGGCCAGTCCAGGGTAATCACGGTGGCAGGCAGGCATGGTGCCAGGGAAGGAGCTGAAAGCATTATATCCTGACGCACAGGCAGAGGAAGAAAGAGGCACTGGGCCTGGCGCGGGCTTTTGAAACCTCAGAGCCCACCCCCAACAACAGACCTCCTGCAACAAGGCCATATCCCTAACGCTTCCCAAATAGCTCCGCTAACTGGGAACGGAGCACTCCAATGTATGAGCCTACGGGGGCCCTCCTCATCAAAACCACCACACCCAGATTGGGCTTTTTTTAACCATATCTATTCTGGTGGCGAAATGACAGCCTGACTTCTGCAGCCTTTCTTCCTTCTTTCCTCCCTCCCTCGGCAGAAAGGAGGACTTGGGAAGAACGCAAAAGTTAAATAACAAAACCATCATGCCGTCAATAAACAGGCTAACGAACCGAACAGACAGTCCTCAACTGAAGAAATGCAAACGGCCAGCAGATATCTGAGAAGGTGTTCTGTATCTTCAGCCATCAGGGGAACTGCTCTGCGATTCCATCTCTGCCTGGTCACAATGTCCATCGCCAAGGAAACATGACGGCAAATGCTGGCGAGGACGTGGGAGGAACCCTTGCTCACTGCTGGTGGAGCGTAAACTGGCGTAGCCACTGTGGAAATCAGTGTGGACTTCTCTACACTGCACTACTGTATGTATGGCCCAGCTCCACCTCTCCTGGACAGAGACCCAAGGGACTCTAAGTCAGCAACCACAGAGACACCTGCTCATCCATGTTTATCTGCACTGCAATGATTCCAACGGCCAGAGAGTAGAACCTGCCTAGATGGTCATCACAGATGAACAGAGAAAGAAAATGTGATAC